GCATTTTATTGATCTAATGTCATTTAGAGCATGCTGGGCTAAATTGAAACAAGTTTTTATGGACTACCAACACTCTATTGTGCATTAATAGCACTTTTGAGTCCATTGTTTTTCTGCTAGGACTTGAAACGAATCTATTTTTTTCTTTATACACTTATGCTGCATTTGGTGTGCAGGAATGGAATGGAATGCAAGTGGGAATGGAATGAGAATGGAAATGGAATGGAATGGTCATTCTCATTCTAGTGTTTGGTTGGACCAATTTAAAATTTAGAATGGAATAAATTTCTAATTGAATTCTCCAAAATATCCCTCTTAGTAACAAATAAATTAAATTAAATTAACAAAATGATATTCTCTAATAATTTTTAAAAAATAAATGGTGGCAGTGGCGGTGGTGGATGGTGGAAAGCGGTAGTAGTGTAGGTGGTGGTGTTGGAGGCGGCGGTGGTAGCAATGGTGGAAATTGGTGGTGGTAGTGGTAGTAGAAGGTGGCAGTGGTGTTGGTGGAAGGCGATGGCAGTAGTGTGGTGGTTGTGATAGAATGAGATAGTGGTGTAACTATAGTGGTGGTGGAAGGTGGTGGTGGTGGTGGTGGTGGCGAAAGGTGGTGGTGTTGGCGATGGCGGAAGGTAGTGGCGGAAGGTGGTGGTGGTGGCGATGGTGAAAGGTGGTGGCGGAAGGTGGTGGTGGTGGAAGGTGGTGGCGGTGGTGGAAGATGGTGGCAGAAGGTGGTGGGCGATGGCGAAAGGTGGTGGCGGAAGGTGGTAGTGGAGGAAGGTAGTGGCGGCAGTGGTGGAAGGTGGTGGTGGTGGCGGTGGTGGAAGGTAGTGGTGGCGGTGGTGGTGATGGAAAGTGGTAGAAGGTGATGGTGGTGGTAAAAGGCGATGGCGGCGACGTTGGTGGTTGTTGAAGGCAACGGCAATGGCAATGGTGGCGAAAGGTGATGGCGGCGGCGGTGGTGGTGTAAGGTTATGGCGTGGCGGTGGTGGAAGGTGGTAGTGGTAGTGAAAGGCGGTAGCAGTGGTGGTGGTAGAAGGTGGTGGCAGTAGTGAAAGGCGATGGCGGCCGTGGTGGTGGAAGGTGGTGAAAGGCAATGGCAGTGGTGGTGGCAGTAACGGTGGTGAAAGGCGGCGGTGGTGGTTGTGGCAAACGGTGGCGGTAGCGGTGGTGAAAAGCGGTGGCGGTGGTGGTGGTGGAAAGTGGTGGGCGATGGCGAAAGTCGGTGGTGTTGGAAGGCAGTGGTAGTGGTGGTGTGATGGAAGGTAATAGTGGTTTTTAGACTTGGAATATGAGAGTGTTTTGGGAAATCAATTTTTTTAAATAAATTACTTGGGAATGGAATGACCATTCCATAGGTTCAGTTGTGGAATGGATTTTCATTCCCAGGAATGAATTTTCATTCCAATTGAATGGCCATTCCAACTTTAAGTAGCATACCAAACAAAGGAATGGTTGGAATGGACATTTCATTCCATTCCATTCCTGCACACCAAATGTAGCATTACAGAAAATAATAGAATGATAAATTGCATTATGGAGTGAGAAAAATTAATTAAATCTAGTATGAGAAAGTAGTTCCCTCTTCAACTGAACCTAATCTTATTGTATGAACCATATCCATATGGATAGAAAAGTGAATTATTGGATTAAGGGTTCTACTATTTATTTATTTATTTATTTTTTTGATACATCCCAAACTTTTTATGGCTTTATTTACACCTTATATCACATGAATCATAAGAACTGAAAGGAAGCAAATTAGATTACATTGAATGACAAGAATTCAAGTTCATTGCTGATTGGTTCCATGTTTATGAAATGAAATGAAACTTGACCCACACTCTTTTTTAATGGAGTATTCTTTCGATTAATTCATAAAACTTATGTTGTCAAAAAATTTCAAAATCGACGTCCATACTCAATTTTATATGGTATAAAAGAGAAATGGTCCACAATTAATTATTATTATTATTATTATTATTATTTTTTTTTTGGGTACAAAAATTCTTTAATTCATGAACTTGAGAAGATTACTTTGAGTCGCCAATACAAAACTCTCAAGTTGGACATCGGATTATTGATTTAATAGACAAAATAATTTATGTTTTGAAGAAAATTCTACTGGAAATTGAAGCCCTTCATGATAAGCTTTAGAGTTCAGGCTGATTACTAGACTGTTAAGGAATAGACATTTCCATATAATTGAAGTTGTTTTTTTTTTTTTTTTCCGGAATGTTTATTCTTGATAGATCTTTGAACTTTTCAAGACAATTCTCAACCACACACATGATACATGTACACATTTGATACATGTACAATAACAGATACATGAATAAACCCAAAATGCATAATGAACATGGCATTAATTTAATTTTAACACACCCCCCTTAATGCCATGTTGTGACACCCAACAATTCTCTAAAGTATTCAAACTTATCTCTTGGAAGTGCTTTGGTGAAGATGTCCGCATCTTGGTCTTCGGTCTTGCAATACTTGAGCTGAATCTCATCCTCTTCTTTTTCTTCTTGAATTTCTTCCTTACCACTTCTTTAATTTCATTTTCAAACCTCTTTGGCTCAACAACACAAAAATTGCAACTTGCATACACATCACGAAGACTTTTCATTCTTCTTGGAGTTGAACTTGGAGATGAGGAATTTGAACTTGATGGTGAAGTTGAGACTAATTGTGAGTTACCAATTTGGAGACATTTCTTGTGGATCTTTAAGAACATCTTCATTTTCATTTTCTTGATTTTCTGATTCTTCATTGAAAGTGATGATTTGAACTTGAACTTTCTTCTCTTTCCAATCCCAAGCAGCCTTTTCATTAAAGAGATCATCTTCACAAATAATCAATTTATTCTTCTTCAAATTAAAGAGTTTATAGCCCTTTGATTTTGAGCTATAACTCACAAAGATGCATTTTTCACTAGCTTCATCAAGTTTGTGCATCATTTCTCTTGAAACAAAAACAAATACACCCAAAAACTTTCAAGTGATTCAATGATGGCTTCCTTCCACTCCATTTTTCAAAAGGAGTTTTATTCTCCACTGCTTTTACTGGACTCCTATTTATCAAGTAAACAGCCGTATACACGGCTTCACCCCAAAATGATTTGGGTAGCCCCTTCTCATGAAGCATTGATTTTCCCATCGCAACAATTGTTATATATTTTCTTTCTGCCACTCTATTTTGTTGTGGAGTGTACCCAACCATTAATTGCCTCTCCAAGCCAATATCTTCACAAACTTTTCAAACTCATTTGAGTTGTACTCTCCACCTTTATCACTTCTTAACACTTTGATAAGATGGTCACTTTGCCTTTCAACAAGCTTTTGAATTTTTTTAAAAATAGAGAACACATCTTATTTTTCTCTTATGAAATAAATCCATTTCATTCTTGAAAAATCATCAATGAAAATAATAAAATACTTGTTACTCACATGAGTTGGTGTTGTCACTGGTCCACACACATCGGTATGAACAAGCTCCAATGGTGCTTTAGCCCTCCATGTCTTCTCTTTCGGAAATGACTCTCGATGATGCTTACTAAGAGCACAACCTTCACAAACTTCTTTAACTTCTTGTATTGTTGGCAGCCCATACATCATGCTATTTTGTTGTAAATTTTTTAAGCTTTGGAAATTCAAATGCCCAAGTCTTCTATGCCAAAGCCATGACTCATCAAGAACATCCATTTTCAAGGCTATATTTTTTTAACATGAAAAAGTGAGAGGAAAGCTTCTATTTTTCCCCATCTTGATTTTTGCCACAATATGATTTTGTTCCCTTTGTCAAGAATTTTGCAAAAGTCCTCATTAAAATGAATGGAGTACCCATCCTTTACAAGTTGCCCAACACTTACCAAATTTTGCTCCAAATCCGGAATAAGTAACACATCTCATATATGCTTTCTTCCTTTCTTTGTCTTTATGGCAATGGTACCTTTTTCCTTTGCTTGGACCAAGGCACCGTTTCTCATCCTCACTTGAGAATTTGATGAAGAATCATCTCCAAGAATATTTTTTTATCTCCAGTCATGTGGTTACTACACCCACTATCAAGAAACCACCCATTATCCTTTTGTTCCAATACCGTGTGACAAGCATAAAACATGCTTGCTTCACCTTCTTGCCTTTGGAAAAATTAGCTTGTTGATTTGTTTTCAACTGGCAATCTTTTTGAACATGTCCAAATTTTTTGCAATTGAAACATTGAGGTTTTTTCTGAAACTAACAATCTTTGTCAACATGGCTACTTCTCTTGCAAATTCTACATTTTTGTTGAGTGGACTCTATATTTCCACTTTTCTCAAAAATATTTCTTCATCTTCACATACTAAAAATCATAATTTTCCCTATAAAAAAGGGGAAGTGCTAATTAATGAGCACATTGGTTTTGATTATTTGTAGTCGTCATCACGATCGATCTTCTTCGGGGTTTGTTTTCCCATTAATAAGTTTCACGCCCAGTTTGCTCTTGATTGAAATCAAGCTCTTGATTGAAATCAAGCTCTGATAGCACTTATGTTGGCTGTAGTTTCAACTAACTAAATAATTTCTAAGTGAAGAGAGGAGAAGAATGAATGGATCAACAAATATTATTCTATATTGTATTGAATTCTTTGTTGTGTTGATATATCTTAATAACAAATCCCTCACACTATATATACTATTCTCTAATATACACATGATACATGCACTCACTTGATACACGTACACATTTGATACATGTACAATAATAGATATATGAATAAACCCAAAATGCATAATGAACAAGGCAATTATTTAATTTTAACAAAGGTCTACTAAAATTTAATTTTTTTTTGGGTTCTCTCAATTTTATGTAGAGATTCTTATAAAACGCGTAATCACCAACTATTGTTATATATGAATGTGGATTCTATTTTTGTATATAAATGTTGGATTGAATTTTTATGCAGCCATCAGTGTGAAGTATGAAGTGCCCAAATTTTAAGAAAAGACAAATGGTAGGTATCTGAAAACAAACATTTTTTAACTGGGCTTTTAGAAATTGTCAACCAAGCAGGCTTTTTTTTTTTTTTTTTTTTTTTTTTTGGTATATACAGTTTTGTGAGAGAAAACTGAACCAAACAGAAATCTGTTTTAAGAAAACTATAAAAGACAAATGGTAGGTATCTGAAAACAAACATTTTTTAACTGGGCTTTTAGAAACTGTCAACCAAGTAGGCTTATTTTTTTTATTTTTATTTTTTTTTTTTGTATATACAGTTTTGTGAGAGAAAACTGAACCAAACAAGCCCTAATTTTCCAGTTTGGCGGTAAGTAGCAAGTAGTTGGGAATCGGGGTTTGAGCAGCAAGGCTGGGGTAACCTTTCAGTGTAAACTATGGCATATTGTTAAGAAGATCTGACAGAAAAAGACCAGCTCAAGCATTTTATTGAGGTTTGAGTTGGCATATATTATAATAGGATGTTAATTTTTAGGAATTGTTGATAAATGCTTATTTTTTTTAATTTATTATTATTAGTATTTTTTATCATTTTTACCTAGGGTGATATTTCATGCTCTGATATCCGTTTCCTCTTTTATTTTCCTTTATTTTTTGAATGTGAATTCATGTTGGGTTAGTGTTCTGATTCCAATTCAAGGTCCATTGAGCTGAGGCCAATTTGGTTTTTAGCCTATTGAGCTAAGCCATTGGGCTCGTGGCCAATTTGGTTTAAGCCCATTGAGCTAAGCTCAGATGATGTTGTCGAAGCTTGATTTTTTTATTTATTTATTTTTTCTTAGTTGGTATTCAAAAACACATGCTTCCACTGAGACTGGAACTCCTAACTTTCTCTTTTGAGCAGTAGGGGTTTGGTACTACTAAGTCATTACCATGTTGGTAGCTTGATATAATTTCAACCATTGATTTTTGCCAAAAACTAGAATATAAATATCCCACTTGTCAAGGGATTATGTCTTTTTTTTATTTTTATTTTTTTTAAACGTTTCGATTTCGATTATGAAATACAGCATGGTGTCTTGAAAAAAAAAAAAAAAAAAAAAAAATAGTTTACTTGATCAAAACTTTTCCAATAAAATTCATGTCGAACAAGGAACATCACCTCAAGAAACAATGAAATCTGAGCGATGTGTACATAACAACTCAACTCTCACTCCTTAAGCCAACTATCAACTCACTATATCTAGAGTACATCCATAACTCACAAGTGATGAAAATGGTAGCATATCAGAGGCGATTAATTGGCGGATGGGGGTGGTGAGAGGAGAGGAATTGTGGGCATGGTGGTCGGAATGGTCGGCAGTGAAGTAGCTGGCAGAGGAGGTAGTGTCACCTTTGGAATGGCAGGCATGGTTGGCAATGTCGGGTTTGGCAGAGATGGAATTTGGGTGCTTGGCAATGTGGTTTTAGGCATGGCCGGCAGTGGAGGCAGCACGGCCTTAGGCAGAGGTAGCATGTTAGGCAGTGTAGGTGCTGCGGTTGGAGAGGTTTGCAGTAGGTGAAGACGCCCTGCCATGCCCATTTGGATATTTGACAGTGACAACACCACAATCAAAGGTAAAATCAAGAAATGCTTAAAAGAGGCCATTGACAGGAGCTGAATTAAATTACTCCAATTTCAGGGAAAATTGTACTTCCAAGTTCTTCTAAGTTGAAGAACTACTTGTATTAGTGGTTATTTATAGAGAAAATTAGTGAAAAACTCTGAAGATTTGATATGACGACCAATGTGAGTTTGATGAGATGTGGTTAGAAAAGGTATGGAGGAACACTGGTCTGTTCACCTTCCAAACTTTGACTCATCTTCCAAAACAGATGGACTAGCTCACACAACCCATCGCTTTCAATATGTAAGCTTGATTTGCAGTTAGTTTCATGGTTGGGTAGGCAAGTATATTAGGCATTACTCAGTTACCTAATTGGTAGAGCGCCGAACTTCCTTAACAGATGTACTCGTATTTGAATCCCTCCTCTCTTAGCTAGGATTAAAAAAAAAAAAAAAAAGAAAAGAAAAAAGAAAAGGGGTAGATAAGGTATATTTACTTGTGATGGATTCTAATTCTAATTGCATAAAAAAAAACGTAGTTGGTGACTAGATAGTTCTTATAACCCTAAAAAAAAGAGCAAATTTTGGCTTGGTAAGAACTTGAGTTGGTGGCTCTTAAGTATCATATTTATTATTTAAGCCAAAAGTTTTGCTAAAATATGAAGTATCAAGAGACTAAAATTTAATTTAAAATTAATATTCAACAAAGTAATTAAATAATTGTAAATTCTAAAATATCTATGAACATAAAATTGACACAAAGTAAAAGAGATAAAAATAAAAATTTTCAATTGAACTTTAGGAATTCAATTATTGATAGGTGTATTCCAACTCCTAAAACAATATCAAAATCAAGACTATTTTTTTATTACATTAATAATATTTTATTTATTTATATATTAGAAAATTATTTTTATATTATTTATAAAATTAGAAAAGATGTGGAGACTAAATAGACTAAATTATTTATATTTTTTTTATATATTTACTTTATATATTTTCTTGTCTAATTAGAATCACTAAATTATTTATTTATTTTTATATATTTTCTTATCTAATTAGATTTACTTTCATTAAAAAAACTCTATTTATTAATTTGAGTTTTATAGAAATTTTTCTAGACACCTTATATTAATTTTAAAATAAAAACTAAACACAATAATATACTGAAATTCTTTATAAGCCAAATATTTTGTTGATGTTCAACCGATCTATATATATTTTCTTGTGGATATACATATGCATTACAAATTTGCCTTTAAATTTCTTTAAAGTATGGAAAAATTGGAAAGTAAGGTATAATTTTTTAGACGAGATTCTCATGTACCTGGAAATATCTCCTTCCATATATGTATATTCTGAGATAATATTGTCTCACCATAATAATTTGTAATTGGGTGGTGTCACTTCTTTGTGATTTAAAGAATTTAAAGACAACGTATGCATTAATTTCCTCCCATATCTTAGGTGTTAACATCTATTTAGCACAATCTCTCATATAAGTAGGATGTAGGATGTGCAGAAAAATGTACAAATAAATGAGCAAAAACAACTCAATCTTCATGATTTTGACATTTTACATGCAATTTCTCACTAACTTTCTTGGCATGCAATACTTATTTTGAAAGCCAAGCCAGCATGATTTTGAAGCCCCATTGAAAGATGGACCAATGCTCTCCTTTAGCTTTTAATTTATTATATATATATATATATATATATTTAACGATTTTGAGTGAACTAAATTACATGACTTGCTATTGTGATGTGAAGAGAGTAAAAGGAATGGTTCTGACATGAGCAGGGTTTGACTTCCTAAAGCTTCATTATGGTCCCTGACTAACCTGGTGCTGTAACTGTGGGGCCAGTTACAGTATCCCCAGTTTGTTACCTTGGAGTGGGTCCAAAGGGCCCTGCCCAAGGTCTCAAGTAAATCAGAAGACACGTGGATAACAAACAACTTGCAATTTGTCAAACGCAGCATATAAAATAATATTCTGTGGATAAATACACACATTTCAGTTGATCGTCAATACTTAATTTCTCTTGTAAATCAAAACACGCATATATATAACAGAACTTACCTTTGAGGCTTCAAATATATATATATATATATAATTTTTGGGATCAAAACTCAAACTATATGCCCCCGTCCTGATGGTTGTGAATGTCTCTATGAGGCATTATCTGGAACTTCTAGCGATGCGTTCACCATTATCTCATATGCTGCTGCTTCTTCTTCTTCGTTGTTTTTTTTTTTTTTTTTTTTTTTTGACTATTCCCCTTGATCAGAAACGTGTGAGAATTTATTCATGTCCAAGTCGGAGAACTTTAACTAATCAATTCCTACAGACCATATGTTAAAAGTGAGCTCAACGAGAAGAGAAATCTGAAAAATAAAATCTATATTTAATTTATTGTAACTTTCAAGTCGACATCCACTTCGGATTTGGCCCAGCGAGTAAATGCCTGTGTTCTTTGTGGCTAGTGTAATGAGTGGGCACTTGTCCATTTATGCTTACCCCATCCAAATCCGATGTGGGACATATCTCATTTGTAACATTCTCCCCCACCCAAACATGCGCAACTTTGCCTCTGATACCAATTGTAATGGGGGCGCTTGCCCATTTACCAAAAAAAACTCAAGCAGTGACTTATTACTAATATCAATTTATCATAAAATTGGAAAAATTAAATAGAGTTGTAACTACGATTTTCTAAAATAGTTGCCTTATTATTAAAATGTTACTATTTATAATTAAAATTATTCTACTCAGTTTAAACTTTTTTACAATATATATTTTTATACAATATGTTCATTAAAAATTAATAAATTACTTAAATAAAAAATACCTTCTTATGCATGCAATATTTTCATGAGAATTAAAAAATTACTTAAATTGTTTTGAAATTTTCTACTAAATTTTTTTATGCACACAATTAATTTTAAAAATTAAAGGTTTATGCAAATTTAATAAAAAATATGTCATCAAATAAGTATGATTTTTTTCCATAACTTGTTTTAATAAGAAAAAAAGATTAATTGTAATTCAATAAGAAAAGGGTATTATGAACATTTAATGAAAATTAGTCTAGACATGGAGACATTTTGTAATAAAATGTGATAGTTCAGGAGGTATTATGCATAAAATATACTTTAAGAGGGTTATTTGCAAATTTTAACATAATTCAGAGGGATTTCTTGCAATTTACCCTAATTTATATTCCATTTAGTACGTACCATGGTTGATCTGTCCATTTCTTCAATCGTTTTCTTTTTCTTTCTTCAGTCATATTCTTTCTCGATAATTCTTCAATGGAGATGAATATTTCTAAAGAGATTAGTTCAATAACCAAGACAAAAAAAAAAAAAAAAAAAATGAATTTCATTCATATATATCACACAGAACAACAATATTACACAACATTCTTAACGAGAATACAGTAATACTAAAATGACTCCACAAACCTACGAAAATAAAACCTCACACACCTTGTAACTACAAAAACATAAATGGATGGACTCACTCAGGCTACGAAAATATACTTTTTGGCATGCTCTACAGCTCAAGAGCTAGTTGTGGGATGGAGGTGGTGAGAGGAATGGGATTGTTGGGATTGTTGTTGGAATGGTTGGGATTGAAGGAATTGTGGTTGGAATGGTTGGAATAGTGGGCAATGAAGTGGCTGGCAATGGAGGCAGTGACACCTTTGGAACTGTGGGCATGGTTGGCAATGTTGGCAGCGCGATGCTTGGTAGTGGTGGCAATGTGGTCTTTTGCAGTGTTAGTAGCGCGTTACTTGGTAATGGTGGTGTTCGGCTCACGGAGAAGCGCTAGTTCCGCTTTCTAGGTGAGTGGAAAGTAGGAGTGGATGTCTGGCGTGCCAGGAACTGTTGTCGTTCCAAAGTGAGTATCCGAACAACTATCTAGTAGGA